GAATTTGACCCTGATAAGCCGGATGTAGACGCACGTGCCTGGTGTACTACAGCGGATCTGTGCCTATCGGAGGTACCGCTTCGGGGAAGTGCTCTAATAATTACCCTAAGCAAGGCTCTGAAAGGTAGTGCTTCACGTTGGCTGGCGCAAGTGTCGTTTGCGGGGATGACATGGTGTGACTTCAAAAGCCTGTTTTTATCCCGGTACGATTGTGTGGACACACCAGCCGCTACTCTTGTCAAAATGATGAATGGCAAGCCCAAGGAAGGTGAATGTTATGCCGCGTACGCTGCCCGATTGCTTTCAACGCTCACATCACGCTGGCAAAACATGAGCACTGAGCAGATTGCCATATCTACGGTGCTTGCTCACATGGCACAATTTGATGGGCGTATTCAGAGGCTGGTGTTTACTACCGAAGTCAACAACAGGAACAAGCTGCAGTGTGAACTTCAAGCGCTCTCGTTTTTGAAAAGGAAAGCTTCAACGGTTAACTCAACCGACGCCGTTCCAGAGTTCAAGCGATCCAAGTTTCAGTCGACAACGCTGAAGTGTCACAACTGTGGTAAACTAGGTCATCGAGCATCTGACTGTCGATCAAGAAATGAGGTGAAAAGCAAAACAGCCAATACCACCATCTCGGCGTCAAGTTCTTCAGGACCAAAACAGCGTTTGGACATCATCTGCTTTCGATGCGGCAACGCCGGACATTTTGCAGCAAAATGTCCACGAAGTAATAGTGCGGGCACCAGCGCGGCGGGTGGATCAAGCAGTTCTGGGGTAGCGCCTGCCGCAGCGGCAACCAGTGAGCGACGTGTTGACGTTTGTTATGTCAGCAATCCCAGCGGTGTGCTGATGAATGCTGGTGAGTCATACCCATTTTACTACGATTCTGGTGCCGAATGCTCTCTGATCAAAGATTGTGTTGCGTCAAAGTTTAGTGGCAAGCGAGTAAATAATATTGTAAATTTAACCGGAATCGGTCACGTTAGCGTACAAAGTACCCTACAAATTTTATCTGAAGTTATAATTAACGATTTACGGTTAGAGATATTATTTCATGTTGTACCGGATAGTTGTCTTAAAAATGATATCTTAATCGGCCGCGAGATTTTAGATCAGGGGTTCAACGTTAGTATGACGTCTCATAGCGTTGTTTTGTGTCGTAATAAGGTTGTGAGATTATGTGATGCTTCAAATAAGCCCAAGACGGATACTAATTATCAAATTGATTCAAATAAAGTTGACACAGACGTTCCGCCAGAATTTCGTTCCCAATTAATGGATCTTTTGTCAGAATATTCATCTTCGTTTTCTAATGGTGTACCTAAATCCCGTGTAACGACAGGACAGTTGCAAATCAGGCTTATAGATCCTAGTCGAACGGTTAAACGTCGCCCTTATAGGCTTAGTGCAAACGAACGTGAAGTTGTTACTGCTAAAGTTCGTGAACTAGAGGAAGCAGGTATTATTAGGCCAAGCTGTTCACCCTTTTCTAGTCCAGTGTTGCTTGTCAAGAAGAAAGATGGTTCAGATCGCATGTGTGTCGACTACAGGGAGCTGAACGACAACACTGTATCGGATAGGTTTCCACTGCCGTTGATAGAGGACCTTATATCTAGGTTAGGTGGTGTTACATGGTTCACGTGTCTCGATATGTTGTCAGGCTATCACCAGATTCCAGTGCATCCTGAATCGATAGAGCGCACTGCATTCGTCACACCTGATGGTCAGTGGGAATATTTGACCATGCCGTTCGGTTTGAAAAATGCCAGCTCAGTTTATCAACGTGCAGTGATGAAGGCATTAGGCGATCTTGCTAACAGCTATGCTGTGACATACGTCGACGACATTTTAGTGATAGGATCGTCTGTGGAGGAGAATTTATTTCGTCTTCGCACTGTGCTAGATAAATTAACAAAAGCTGGTTTCTCCCTAAATCTTGCTAAGTGTTCCTTTCTTAAGCGACGGGTAGAATATTTAGGCTTTGTTGTTGAGAACGGCCAAATCAGTCCCAACCCAAATAAAATTGCAGCTTTGTCCAGACTTCCCCCCGCCTAAAACCATCACTCAGCTAAGACAGTTCATAGGGCTGGCCACTTATTTCAGACAATTTGTGCCACAGTTCTCAAAAACGATGGCTCCTCTATTTCGTCTAACGAGTGGCAAGGACAGGTCCATTGAGTGGGAACCTAGCCATGAGGCTGTTCGTCAGAAAATTATTTCTTATTTAACCAGTAAGCCTATTCTAACGATATTTGATCCTGCACATCCAATAGAGTTACACACCGATGCTAGTGCTGAAGGATATGGTGCTATTTTTATTCAAAAGATTAATGGGATACAACATGTGGTTGCTTATTATAGTCGTCGTACCTCCCCAGCCGAATCAAAGTTTCATTCATTTGAGTTAGAAACGCTAGCTGTGTTCAATGCCATAAAGCATTTTCGACATTATTTGCTAGGTCGTAAGTTTACCGTTGTGACAGACTGCAGTTCTGTTAAAGCTTCTAAAAGCAAAACTGACTTGTCTCCACGAGTTCATCGTTGGTGGGCCTACATGCAGTCATTTGAGTTTGATATCGTCCATCGTGAAGGCAGTAGGATGAGCCATGTAGACTTCCTGTCTAGAAATCCCCTCCCTAAGCCCAAAGTGGCTTTCACTCGTGTGGAACAAAAGCGTATCGATTTAGCTGAGCTTTCTAGTAACTGGTTGCAAGCTGAACAGGAAAAGGACGAAGAGATTAGTAAGATCGTTTCTGATCTTCGTAACGAAGTTTTTCCTGAGGAAACTCGCAAAACCTACGAAGTTCGTAAAAACATTCTATATCGCCAAATTCAGCGTAACGGTCGCACTCGATGGCTGCCTATTGTACCTAGATCGCTTAGGTGGTCTGTTATTAATAACGTCCATGAGTCTGTCATGCACTTAGGATGGGAGAAAACTCTCGAAAAGATTTACGAACACTACTGGTTCGAAGGCATGTCGAAATATGTGAGGAAATTTGTGGACAACTGCATCACATGTAAAGTAGCGAAGCCCCACTCGGGTAAAGTTCAAGCAGAACTGCACCCGATTCCCAAGTTCAATATCCCATGGCACACAATCCATATTGACGCTTCTGGTAAATTATCTGGGAAGAATGACATCAAGGAGTACGTGTTTGTCATATTAGATGCGTTTACCAAATTTGTGCTACTTCGTCATTCGCTAAACATCGACACTAATAGTAGTATTCGTGCTATTAATTTCTGTATAGCTCTGTTTGGTGCACCGAAACGCATAATAGCAGATCAGGGTCGTTGTTTCGCAAGCAAAGATTTTTCTAGCTTCTGTACTTCTAATAGCATCGAGTTGCACTTGATAGCTGCTGGAGGCAGCCGTGCAAATGGTCAGGTCGAGAGGGTAATGAGTACGCTTAAGAGTATCTTAACAGCGGTAGAGACTAGTCGTGACCGTTCTTGGCAGGACGCATTAGGAGAGGTTCAGCTGGCCATGAACTCTACTATTAATAGGGTGACTAAATATAGCCCTCTAGAGTTGATGATAGGAAGGGTAGCACGACCGCTTAGTTTAGTAACCGCCGATGATGATGATGTGACAGAATTTAACTTGGATGAGATCAGAGAGCACGCGACACAGAATATCAAAAAAAATGCCAATTATGATAAAAATCGATTTGACCGAAATAAGGCTCGGGTTTGTAAATTAGCTATCAATGATTACGTTTTAATTGAAAATGAGGAGAGGAATCAAACGAAATTAGATCCCAAGTTTAAAGGTCCTTTTAAGATTATCGATGTGTTAGATGGGGATAGATACCTACTAAAGGCGCTTGACTCTAAGCGAACCTACAAATACCCCCATGATCGTGTGAGGAAGGTCCCCGATCACCAAGTTCCTCGAGAATTAGACGTCATAGTTGATGACAGCGATAGTGAAACCAAATCTAATTAAGAATGGCATGTATACTCATACTCGAAACTGTAGACCGCACCTCATGAGTAACATGTGGCGATGGGTCTGTAGGAAATCGTTGGTGCGATTTCTGTCTGTGTTGGTACACAGAGCCCCTCATGTGTTGTAGCATATTTGGCGGCAGATATGTAGGGAATCGTTGGTGCGATTCTGGCATATGTGGCGGCAGATATGTAAAGAATCGTTGGTGCGATTCTGGTCTGTGCTGGTGCACAGATTTCAATGAAAGTTTCACGAGTTGAGTATTCATTGCTTATGAATTATGGTAAAGAGTAACAAAATTGTCAGAATTGCTGTGTTGGAACTTGTTGATCGGGCCTTTCACAATAAATCATGTAGTGCAGGAAGCACTGTGTAAGAAGCCCTAATAATAGGGCTTTGTCAATCATGGCAGTTGATTACTGTACTTAGATTTAGGAGAAATAAAGTACCATCTGGAATCAACCTCGTTTTCGTTGGCAGGATAGCCGAGCTAAGTTATTCTCTGAGCATATTTTGTCCACAGGCACTGCACCCGAGGACGGGTGCTAGTCAGGGATGGCCGTGTCGTGGATTGATGGCGCCATAGTGCTACAAGCAGCGCCATCTAACAATTAGCTTTGCGAATCAATAATATCGTTACCGGAAACGCAAGCGCGCCCTACCGCTTGGACACGATCGTCGGTAGAGGGGATGCAGCGAGGGCTAGAAAAAGGGACCGAGTGTTGTGGCAGTTGAGTTCGGACAGCCGGAGCGGACGCTCGCTACCGACGCACGCGTTTGTTTCTCGTGTACAACCACTAGTCTAAATAGTTATTTTTGATTTAAATCATCTTTCGTTCGTGTGCCCACATTTACATAAAACCATGTCGGAGCGTGAAGAAAACACCTTTGACGCGACATATACATAAAAATTGTCTGTTTATAATAAGGCCTCCTCCATTAGCAATTACATACAACTACGCCATTGTCACATGGGGGTAGGCAGGAACTAAAACTGGGTCGTCATATTGTTTTTTTCTTTTTTTTTTGTAGAATCAGCATGTCAGCGAGAAAGAAATTAGCGGAAGACGTGATTCAAAATCTTGTAGATAATCTTGAGGATATTTCCGACTTGTCGGAATGTGATGAGAATGATGACCCGTGTTGGGGAGATTTTGTTTCTAGTCCTGCAGATTCCTGTATAAGTTTACCAGCAGAACAGGTCCTTGAAAGACGTCTAGAGGAAATGTTTGGACCAGAAGTCAATTACGAAGACGTTGTTCCAGGGACAGAAGTTATAGAGCAACAAAATGTCAATCTTTTAGAAATTTTAGAGTCGAGCTGTAATCACAATATTTCTCCGGTACCTAGTCTAGATTTATCTTCTTCGATGTCATGCTTGCAACAAAGTATTCCACTAGCAAGTAAACAAAATCCTTTACTTACTGATCAGGACGTGCTTACAAGTGAAGAACCAGCCGATAGCTCTGCTTCTTTATTTATTAACACAAATCTGCAAAGCAATCAGTTAGCGTGTGTGCAAGACCTTGTGACGTCCAATGTTTCCGATTCTGGCAGATCTGAATTTATAGTCGCAGAAAGTAACTCGTCCACTCAACAAAACCATCATCGCCACGCACGCAGAGACCGAATTTTACCACGGGACTGGAAAACTGTAGCTGATCTCCGCACCATCCCTTTGTTTGATAAAAAAGCTGAGCCACATAAACATTACACTCATAAAACACAACCCATCGAAGTTTTTCAATATTTTTTCCCCGATTATGTTGTTGAAATAATTGTTGAGCAAACAAATGGATACACACATCAAAAAGAAGTAATCATTGGACACCCGTTTCTAGCTAAGAAATCAAAGCTTATCTTGGAGTTCTTGTAATGATGGGACTGAACCCGCTTCCGGACATGGAACTGTATTGGTCATACTGTATTGGTATACAACAACGCCGAAATTTCACGTGTTTATTTATTATATAATTTTATTTATTTTGGGATTTAATTTTATTTATTATAAGATCCCAAGCAGATGGTAGCACCCAGCCATCTTCTCTATTGAAATTAGGATGTTTTTTGATTTCAATAGCCTCTGATGGATCTAGATGGCTGGGTGCTACCATCTGCTTGGGATCCTATAATAAATTAAATTAAATCCCAACCCAAGCATACAACTGCAAGACTTCAAGATACCATAAGTTCATACTGCATAGATCGGAACAAAAGTTAAAATTTTAATCTATGGTAACCGCGGTTAACTATGACATATGGACGTTGAACATCTCAGTCCTGCCCGTGACCATGAGTGCTGTAAAGCGTTCGAAACGTCGGGTATTTAAAAGTTAAATATACGCGATAAATTCCGTAAAAACTAGTATTATTTCAATGTGTAGTGTTCGCGTAAATATAAGAAATCACGATGAATGTATGTTTAAATTTAAGGGAAGAAGTAGTTTAAAACAGTACATGCCGAAAAAACCCATCAAAAGGGGATTTAAAATCTTGGCAAGATGTGATTCTAGAACCGGCTATATGTATCAATTCCAAATATATACTGGCAAAGGAGACAATGTCGAAAATGAGGGTTTAGGGTATAATGTCGTCATGTCTCTTTGCAACGAACTACCCCAAAATACACTTGTAGCTTTTGACAATTTTTTTTACAAGCTGCAATCTGATGGATGACTTATTCGAAAAAGGAATCTATGCAGTTGGTACTGTCCGAAGCGACAGGAAAGATCTTCCTAGTATCTTAAAAAAAGTTCAGCCGAAGAGTTTGCGGTTAGAGAAACAGCAATTTGCTGCAATCACTGCTGGTACAATTACTGCGATAAAATGGCATGATACCAGAGACGTGTCTGTTCTGACTACCGCTCACCAAGAGCGTGCCGTAGTATTTGTGAAAAGGACACAGAAAGACTGCTCGAGGCAAAATATTCCCTGCCCTGAGGCTATTGCTGATTACACCCTTACCATGGGTGGTGTGGATCACTTTGATCACTTCCGATCTTCTTATCCAATAGATCGAAAATCACGGAAGTACTGGATGCGATTATTTATTTTTATGTATGATTCGGCAATCATCAATGCATACATAGCATTTAATACAGCTCATGTAGTAAATACCCATTCACATAGAAATTTCCGCTTGAAATTAGCTCGCAGTATGTTAGATAACTTTACAAAGAAGAAGAATAAGCCAATAGTGTTCAAGAACAAGAGGTAACTTCGGAGTTCCTGACGAAATACGGCTCCTGAACGTTGGTGTACATATGCCTGAGGAAATAGAAAATTATAAAAGATGTAGGTTTTGTAGCACCAAAAAAGAACAAAAGCGCTCGAAAATTCGTTGTTCTATGTGCGGAGTTGCACTATGCGCCAAGTCATGTTTTAAAATGTTTCAACACTGCTCAAAGCCAGAATTAGTCGGGTCAATATCAAAGGTTCAATCCTAATCCATCCATCTTAGTTTTTACAATTTGCCAAAGTTATGTGCCAATATATAAATATTGAGTTAAATGCAAAATTTTATTAGAATTGATTGTTCAAATAATAGTTTAAAAAAATACTTACTTGTACCACTTACATCTTGAATATTGATGTTCTATATGGACAAAGGTAAATTATTTACCACCGTAAAAACACCCTCATCCCCTATTTTTTTAATATTTTTGTCACTAAAAATGAAATAAGGGATCATGATTTACCCAGAATCCATTGTAATTTTCTTAATATCATAAACAGGGACCCGCGTTTGTTTAAGGGTTAATACATTCGTGTATTTTTCCATTACAAGACGCGTTGCAACGTCGTATACTACTATGGAACGAGCCAAACTTTGAACCCGGATCTGAAGAAATATCAAAATTATTAATTGGAGGCGACACTTGCTCCGCTCGCATAAAATATGAAGGTGACGCATGTATATTGAGAACTCCAATAATAGTATTGACTTACGAAGATGTGATTCCAGATGATGTCACCTTCACGAGAAGAGTATGGAAGTATTTTTGGAAGCAGGCTCCATTTTTAAAATATTTTACTAAGAAGCCTCATCCACTGTCAATGTTTTATTTACTGTTAAGATATAATATCTTAAGTAAGTCTAATTATAAATTTGAGAATTGGGAATGTGATTTGATAAATAATACACAATAAAGGTTAAATCTGTATATTTTTATCATTTTCCTCATAAACATTTTCGTTGCCTATATTATTTTTTAACTCTCATATCCACACTAATAGCACTTTTGCTGCTTCTATACAATCGAAAGCATGTACCTCAACAGTAAAATTGGCACCTATACAGCTAAATACCCATCAAGCTTTTACAAGGCTTGCGTACCCAAGTGCAAATCGTTCTGCTATCGATCACCACTTCTAGTACCCACGACTACAAATGTCTACAACTCCCGCAATTCAGTGAAGATTCTGACCTTAAGAAATGGACCTCAAAGTAATGTACTAACATGGGAATTTCCTTTGTTAAAGTCACGTTGTTTATTCGTACTTATTTCTTTATCGTCATTGTATAAGGTTATTAACAATGGCGTGTTGTTAACGACTATGTTGTTATCAACGAATACTTTGTTATTAAACAAATGAGCAACAAGTTTTTCTAGAACATTTATCCTTGAATTTAATTGATTATATATTTTTTATAAATACTTTGTTCTTTAACATGAGTTACTAAGTCTAATGTATTTTCAATTTCCTTAGCAATAATTTTAATGTAGGCAATTAAAAACTACAAACAATATTATCACTAAAATATTTTTCATTATATAAAATATAATCATACATATATAATATTTCTGGTCCTTGATGATTCCAAAAATTCCAAAATTTATACAGTTCCTAAAAGATCAAAAGAAACCCTTAGCAACATGTGGTTTCGATAGTTTCATGGAGTGGGCATGCGGCGACGGATTATCCACGACGTATAGGAGGTTCCAAATGACGGACTGGGAAGACGATTTGAACGTGCAATTATTCGACCAATATTCAACGGCTATTCTCGAGCTAGAAAAACGAAGACGGGAACTCGAGGAAGTGGAGGAATCGGGATCTTTATTATTTCCGAACACGAAGACCACCTCCAAGTCTTACACGATTGCTCCTATAGTGGCTCGACGTGTCGATGACTCCATGTCCAAAGACTCGGAGACTACACCAACGAAGGGTACGACAACGGAGATAGCTCGTTCCGGGAGCAAAGTCAAACGAGCATTTTTCCCGAAGGCGAGCTCACAATCAAGGAAGCGAAGAGCATCGACATCCGACGAAGACGAGGACATCGTACCAAAAACATTCAAGAATTACATAAAGGAAAAGCAGATGACAATACAAGAGAGTCAAGTGAGTGTGTAGGACGAGTCAGAACCGGATGTGGATATCGAACCACCGATGAAGAAAACGAAGACAGTCAAATTCCAACTGAACCATCTGATGCGCTGGTTATTGCATATTAAACGATATTTGGTTATATGAAATTAAAACGAAAAACCTTGAGAGCGATGTAATCGTGAGAAACTTTGGGAACCCAGTGTTGCCACACGGCTAATATATTTTTACATGAAATCTCAGTGTTGCTACATAGAAACAAATATTGCCATACGGCATAATTATATCTTAATGTTGCTACATAGACGCAACATGCTGCGGCCACACAAGATGCAAGCTTTACAATTAATAAAACATGTTAACAACAAAATCTGTCTTTAAATTTATAGTACAACACTATGAATTTTTACCGAACATTTTCCAGAAACTAACATTAAGAGCGGCCAACCCGTCTTACTTTTCATGCAAACTCTCGTACGTTATTATGATGGATTACGGCGTTGTAATAGATCTTTCTTTGAAATTTTTGAACTAATAGATATCTTGTGCACTATAGCTAGGTTTCTATCAAAACAAAGAATCAAAATTTGAAGAAACAAATTCAGTATAAGCCTCCAAAAATCTGCTTTTTTGCACAAAATTACCTGAATTTTGGCCGTTCATAATGTACTCATAAATTGTAAAACCAATGAAAATATTTTGATAGAATACTCGCAAATGTAATCGAGTTTCTAAATGACAAACATTTATATCACAAACTTGTAAGGCTTACTGAATAACACGTATTTCCTGGAACAAGTTTTATGAAATTTCCGCACACTATTTTTCGTTCAATGTTATCGCGTTCTCACTTGCTTGTTAGTCAAGTGGCGGTGAGGTACGCGGGGGACGAGTCGTGCGGGGTTGGGGCGGGGTGAGACGGGGGAGTTGAATGACGCTCGGCTTTCGGGCTCGGGCATCTCGGAGTTCTTAGCTGGTATAGAAACTATAGAATTTGTTGACTCTTGACTGCGCGTACGCGAATGTGCTGTTGTATTTTAATTTTAGTGAATTCTGTTTTACCTACTACAACGGTCTTGTTTTTTTTTTATATCGGACACTGCTTTGGCTTGCGAAAGGTTTAGTGTTGTGAACAACAGAAATTATTGACTCACGTTTCCCACGCAAACTGCCAATGAGAGATAGACTCGATTATTGACTGTATTAGATGATAATAATTAAATTTTTTCTAAATACTTCAATCACTTCTGACAGTTTAAAAAATGTTTGTGTTCGGAAAACGGAATCTTACCGACAACTGGGTTGTTTTATGTATTGTTTATAAAATGTGGCAAAGTGTTTTCGAATAAAAAATTTTATTTACCCAACTGTATTTAGACTACTTTATTTGACCAACCGCCTGTACTACGGTGCAAATTAGTACCTATAAAAAACATACATTTGTAGTCATTCACATACGGTACGTACGTGTTAAATAATTAGGTACGATACCGCATATTTCCACATCCTCTAATACAATACTAATACAGACAAACTGGATAGATAAAGAATTTATTCTACTCCTACTACTAGTCCTAAGCAGAATAAATCATTTACCTTTACTTTTTCGTGCTGTATTTAGGTATATGATGGACGAACAAAAAAAAATCGAACGGAACTCCATTCTAAAACAAAACTGACTAATGTGTGAATGTGTCCGGGCTTGTACGCACGACGACCATTTAAAAAACCAGTTTATACGGATCTCTCATTGTACGGGAAATTGATACAAAGCGAGACCATTGTGTACTGGAAATGTCTAGCTTTATGTGTTTACAGTTTTTTACTAGCGAAAATGTGTCTGACTTTCTTTGTTCGTACATAGAGGTAGGTAAGAGGTTGTATATATGAAATGAGAAAAAGCTAATGTATATTATAAATAATTTCCATATTGTCAAAAATAACGCACGCACGGTGCATCGGTACATAGATAGGTAAAAATACAACACTAATAAATCTTCGAGGTCAAGCGTAAACCCGGCTATACATGTTGGCCGAGCGAAGGCGAGCGCCAACGTATAGACAGCCCATTTGTCCAGCCTCGCCATTGCTCGTCGTCGCTCGCCTAGCTGGCCGAGTGCAGGCGAACGCCAACGTGTATACGGTTCGTTTGGGATCGCTCGCTACGACTCGTCCACTTCGGAACAGTGTCGGTTTTTCTGCACAAATCAAAGGCGCTCGCTTGCACTCGGCAAGTCGCGTCCACATGTTAGTCGGCCATGTCAGTTACAATTTGTCGTCCGTCCCGATGAGATATTGATTTTGATAAGTTGCAACTATAAAATAATTTCGACAATTTCACTATACTAACGAGGACATCTTTAAGTATTTTTTCTTTTACTGCGGAGTACACTGACATAATAATTATATGCACATATTAAATAAATAGCAGAAGCTGCAATAACCTCTACGTCGTCCATATCATCATCATCATCATCATCATTACAGCCCTTCACAAGTGCACTGCTGAACATAGGCCTCCCCCAAGTAATGCCACAAAGCACGGTCCTGAGCCACCTGCATCCATCGACTTCCTGCATATCTTACCAGGTCGTCACTCCATCTAGTGGGGGGTCGCCCTACACTACGCCTACCGGTACGAGGCTGCCACTCAAGAACTTCTTTCCCATCGGTTATCGGTTCTTCGAGCTATATAGCCGGCCCATTGCCACTTCAGCTTACTAATCCGTTGGGCTATGTCGGTCACTCTGGTTTTACTGCGGATATCCTCATTTCTGAGTCTATCACGCAGAGAAACTCCGAGCATATCCCTCTCCATAGCTCGCTGAGCGACCTTGAGCGTCCTCATACGGCCAGCAGTGAAGGACCACGTCTCAGTAGCCTGGCAACACGCACTGGTTGTACAATCTAGTTTTTAGAGATTGAGGTATACCTGACGAGAATATATGTCGTAATTTCCCGAACGCTGCCCAGCCGAGTTGAATCCGTCGATTGACCTCTCGGTCGAAGTTGGACTTACCTAGTCGGACTATTTGTCCCAGGTAAACGTACTCGTCAACAACTTCGAGCATAGTGCTCCATAAACTACCGGCATAGGTCATCCATAGGTCCATATCATATCAGTTCTCAATGACGACTAATTACGGCCAACATGTAGATAGCTCCACAAAAACTCGTGAATATTGGCCTTGGAATTGGTCTCTTTCAAACTTGACCAACGTGTAGACTGTAGCACTCGCCGTATATCAATTTGCCTACGCTCGCGTTGGCTGAGACTTGGCCAACATGTATTGCCGGTATTACGTCCTTACTAGACAAAGCATGTAATATAATAAAGTAATATGGTACTAAATGTAGGTATAGACCTGAAGAAAGAAACGTAGTTGCGAGACGCGCAAGTGAGATTCAATATTATTGTCATGAATGGCTCACTAGCGGTCTACCGCCCGCGAGTGAGCGACAAAAGTTATCGAATGCTAACCGAGCGCTCAGGCGCTATCTCTCTCTTTTCGCTTTGCCTCTTTTTCTAACATTGTGCTGGATGAAACAACAAGCTTTTCAACCATACTCGCGTTCACGATAGACGGGCCGGGAAGGGCCCTCTTAAGTACTAAATTAAGAATCTTATATTCTCATAATAACAAACACATATCTATAACTTAGAGCGTAAACTCTATAACGAGCTACGACTTGAAATGATACATATAACTATATAATAAATTATTCGTGACGTTATGGTATGCCATTAGGATATTGCCGTGTCCAGCAATAAAAGAAATTAACAGATCTGTACATATAATACCGATCAGCGGCGACATGCTCACATAATGACAGCCGTGAATAAAAATATTGCGTAAGCTACGACTTATGTATCTAGCGGCAGAACACATATTTTAAGAATTGAATGAGTATGGGTTTTGCCATTTGAAGTTTTTACCTCGACGGCCCTAACGTGGCCATCATGACCAGGGAATGTATTCACCACTCTAGCCATTGGCCAGAACATTGCAGGAACATTGTCTTCTCTTAGTATCATTAAAGAAGCTATCTTGATGTTGGGTGAAATATTTAACCACTTAGGTCTGTTTTGCAGTACATTGAGATATTGTTTGTGCCACATCTTCCAAAATGATTGTTTTATTCAGAATCCGATAGCTCAACCTATTTTGTGGAACATTTGAGACGTCATTTTCTGGATACATTGTTAAAGCGTCTCCTGTCAAAAAGTGACCTGGAGTCAGGTAAGTATAGTCATTTACGTCACTTGAAGATATCGGTAGCAAAGGTCTAGAATTAAGTACGCCTTCTATTTCCACCAACACCGTATTTAACTGTTCATAGGTTAGCAAGTGACCCTGTACTATTCTCGTAAATGGTACTTAGTACTTTTAACTGCCGCCTCCCAAAGGCCACCAAAGGTCTCTATATAACTCGGAATGAAGTGAAAGTCAATTCCTTTCTGAGCTGTAAATTGAAAGACTTTACTTTGGTGGTCTCTGGAGGAAATCAAATTATACAGTTCCACCAACTGATTCCTTGCCCCCTTGAAGGTGCTGGCATTGTCAGAGTAGATCTCTTTTGGCAGGCCTCTTCGCGATATAAGTCTACGTAGGCATGCGAGATAGGTATCGATAGGTGGCCTTAGTGGCAAAACATACAAATACGCAAATGTATCCTTTGCCTATAATGGATCGTTTCACGCGCGAATGTTTTACATTTACGGGTCCAGCAAAATCTACTCCAACTTTCTCAAAGGGACGGCTTAACGCAGTCACCCTCCCAGCTGGCAAGGAGCCCATCAGCTGTTTGGAAGCGGTGGCCTTTTGTCTGAAACATTTTACGCATTTATTTGTTATTTTTTTTTACATACATTAAACCATTAGTGATACAGTATTTCTGATTTAAATTGGACAATACAAGAGCCTTGGTACTCCATGCAGGAGACGCTCGTGTTCAGACCTAACAATACATTCAGTGACATACGATTGTTGAAACTTTTGCAATCAAAATAGACAAAAGCAGTGCAG